TTTGGTTTTGGTTTTTGTTTTTTTTTTAAAGATTTTTATTGGGGAATTGGGGGGATGGGAACAGACAAGTTGCTTTCGTTTTGTTCTTCAGTCTGATTGTGGAGGACATTGCTTCACTGGCCCAAGTTGGCACCATCATTGCGCCCTTCCTGGGTGAGGCAGATCAGTCTGGCTTTACCTCTTTTTTTTCTCTTTTCTTTTTTTTTTTTTGTATCTAGATAGGAACTCTCTTTGGTATTTGATTTTTGTATTCTTTGTATCCCAGCACCCAGATCTTCTACTTGCTCTACTGATGTAATTTTAAGACGGCTGAATAAGCAATATTTAGTTTAAAGGCATTTGGAAACATATAACTTAATTTCATACAATTGGTATGAATACAATCAATTTTATCCATATTTCTGATAATGTAACAGAAAAGACATATACTTTATTCAGAAGAATAAACTGATAATAGAATTTAAGAGCTTAAAGAACACTGAGGTCTAGTTAAATTCCCTTTAAAAAAATCTATTATTGTTAAAAAATGAGAAAACAAGCAAGGGAAGTTAATTGACTGACCTCTGATTACATAGCAAGTGAGTGGTGCCGCTGGACTTCAAGCACAGACCTAAATTTAATTTTGCCTTACTCTTCTTAGGTGTAACACCTGTTTTTCTTTACTTTGATTATTTAAATTTACTGTTCAGAGAAGCATTCTCTTAGTCTGTCATTGTATACAGGAGGTTCATTAATAATAGAGCAAAGAGAGGCAGTATGTTTGCAAATGTTAGCATGCATCAGAATCACCTATAGGGCTTGTTAGTATAGAGTGTGCCCCCCTTTGCCCCGCCCCCTCTCAAAGATTTTCTGATTTGGAGGGTCTGGAGTAAGCCTTGAGAATTTGCATTTCTCGCCTTCCCAGGTGATGTTGATGCTGCTGGCCTGGCGACCACACTTTGAGAACCACTGCTTAAAAGCATACACAGGCTTTGGAGTTGGTCATTCCCAGGTCCAAACTCTGGCTTTATGATTTACTCCTGTGTGATCCAGATCAAGTTTTTAAGTCTCAGTTTCCTGTACTTTAAATTGGGGGTAATAATATATATTTCACAGAATTAAGAGTTAAATTGGTTAGTATTTTTAAAAGGTTTAGCACGCTGGTTGGTGCATAGTAAACACTATTGCTATTCATAATAAGCCTGGGGCCCAATTAAAAGTTTATGAGCCATAAGTTCAGTCAGTGTTTTAGAGTAGATGTCCAGAGACTTTTTGTCACTCTGGCACTTTGAGATGCTGTCTAGACACACACACACACATTCATATGTACAAACATATTCCTCTTTTGACTTGCCTTGCTATTTATGGTAGACTTAGCAGAAGAGTGAGAGAATGAAATGGCAAGTTAGTAAAGCAATTACACTCCCAAGGTTGGATTTAACCAGGGTTTACTTTTATTAATCTCAGGTTTCTATTGTGTATTGAAGTAAAGATAGACCCTATTAAAAAAAAAGAGTATATTTAAAAATATGAATAGCTGCCAACTGCTGAGACAGAACTGCTCATAAATTGCATGATAATAAATTAAAGGATGTGTGTTGCATGGTGGGAGGAGGAGAGCCTAAGGGATGTTGGAGATAATTCAGGGTGGAGGGAGGCGTCCACGTGAAAGATTCTTTGAAACTCTGGGTGGCCCTCATTTAACGGATAGTGACAGTTTCTCATGAGGTCTGAAAAATAAAGTTACAGAGGTATGTCACTGAGCTGACTTTCTGCATGCATATCACAGACGATTCCAAAATTTTAACAATTATTCATTTTCTAATTATATGTGTACCATGTTAGGAACCGTGGAGATGCATTTAAGCTCCAGAAATGTGTGTAGAAGATGTCAAAACTGATTTGAGTGGTTAAGTCATAATTCGGGATTTTTAGCTGTGACTACACTTAAAAACTTTTTCCTTTTTAATAGTCATTTGGCCAGCCTGTTTGCAGTGACTCTTGGGACTTGCAATGGTTAAAAAGAAAAAAAAAGTTTCAACTCAGAGTTTTTTAGAAAACAACTAACTCAATGACACTTGTAAATGAATTTTTTTTGTAAAGGTAAATGTGAAAAGATGCTCAATATCATTAGCCAATGAAATGCAAATCAAAATCACAGTGACATACCACTTCACACCCAGTAGGTTGGCTATAATGAAAAAGATTAACAATAACGTGTGGGTGAGGATGTGGAGAAATTGGAACCCTCATATGTTGCTGGTGGGAACGTAAAATGGAGCAGCCGCTATGGAAAACAGTGTGGCAATCCCTCAGAAAGGTAAACATGGAGTTATCAAATTGACCCAGCAATTCTACTCCTAGGTATGTAACAAAAAGAATTGAAAACATGTTAACACAATAAGTTGAACCCAAATGTTCATAGTAGCACAATTCCTATGAGCCAACAAAATAGAAACAACCCAAAATGTCCATCAATTGATGAATCGATAAACAAAATATGGTATATCCATACAATGGAATATCTATTCAGCTATAAGTAAGAATGAAGTACTGATTCATGTAGCAACATGGTTGAACCTTGGAAACAATGCTAAGTGAAAGAAAGCCAGATACAAAAGGCCACATATTGTATGCTTCCATTTATAGGAAATATCCAGAATAGTCAAAGGTATAGAGGCTGAAAGTAAGTCAATGGTTGCCAGGAGAGGGGAGAATAGGAGAGTGGGGAATGACTGCTAATGGACATGGGGTTACTTTTTATTTTATTTATTTATTTATTTATTATTATTATTTTTTAAAGATTTTTTTATTGGGAAATTAGGGGATGGGAACAGTGCTGGGGAATTGGGGGAAGGGGAACAGACAAGTTGCTGTCCTTTTGTTCTTTAGTCTAGTTGTGGAGGACGTTGCTTCACTGGCCCAAGTTGGCACCATCATTGCGCTCTTCCCGGGTGAGGCAGATCAGTCGCCGGCTTCTGGACGGCCGCTCACTGCGGCTGCTGGCCGCTCACGCTGGCTGCTGGCTACACACGGTAGCCCATGGCAACCCACCTGCCATTGCCGGCAACTCATGGCCGCCCAGCTCCAGGTTGAGCTGTTGTTCAGCATCTTAGCTGTGGAGGGCAGTGTCACTGGCCCTCATATGTGGGATCCGAACCGGGGCCCTCTGGTGTCCCAAGCCAGCTCTTAACCAACACACCACTTGCCGGCCCACAGGGTTACTTTTTAGAGTGATGAAAATGTTCTAAAATTAACTAGTGGTGATAATTGCACTACCTTGTGAATATACTAAAAACCAGTGAATTGTGCAACTTAAAAGGGTAAGTTTTATGGCATGTGAATTACAGCTCAGAAAAGCAAAAACAAAATATATACCTGCAATGGACATGAAGCTCGAGTGAAAAATGCATTTTTTGTTATGGTAAAAATGTAATTGTGGGAAGAAGAAGAGATTCATGGCGGGAAGACCTTCTGTAGAGAAACAAACCATCCTTTGTTAGAGATTCATAATGCATAGTAGCCCATCACAAGTTCTGAAAGTCTTGCAAAATTGAACACCTATTTAGCTTCATTGAGCCAACATCTCCTACACATTTCATCAGGAAAAATGTTTACTCAATAAAAATCATGTTGAGGTACTAGTGACCTAGAAAAGAGTGAAATTTGGGCTTGAACATACATAGGTAAGACTCACATGGAAACTTTATTAAAACAGAGTCCTGGGCCCCGCCCCAGAGATTCTGATTCTAGAGATCGTGGGTGCAGCCTCAGAATTTGCATTTTGGACAAGCTCTCAGGTGATTTGATCCTTCAGGTTTTGAGAGCTAGATTTGAGGAGCATCTTTACAAAATAGACAAATCCTATACCATAAATGGGTGAATTTTATGTGAATTATATCTCAAGAAAGATGTTAAACATTTGACTGAGTATTTTATAGCATTAAAATGTAAGTTCTAGTGATTTTGTTAATGGAAGAAAATGCTCTATGAGTGAACAGTTTTAATTAAAAATTTCTTCATCTGTAAAATGAGTAACTGCCCTATATACTACCTAGAGTGTGGTGAATATAAGGCAATGTACTCTTCCAAATTGTGTTCTGTTGATAAAAACATGTTACAAAAACAACAACAAAACCCATGGCCAGCTAAGTTTGGGAGACTCTGAGTTCAATAATGCATTCCCCAGATTGATGGTCAGACAACTATTCTTGACTTGAACCCTAACATGAATCTATATGTATAAAATCAATTAAATATGAGGTTTCTATTCATTTTAATTCTTGTAGTAGATCCTCTGGAGTTACTAAGGTCCTCCTGGAATGGAAACTATTCGAATAAGCAAAATTTGAATCATTATGGGACCAGCAATAGTTACTCCTCGCTTGTTTCAACCCTGTTATATCCTGCTTGATATTTTATTAAACTGTTTATTTGAAAAATTATTGACCGAAAAGAATTTTAGCAGATGACTATGGGCTATGATAAAATAATGTTTAATAAGGTTTAGAGAATGTTTGTAGCTAGTTATTTGTCTCTTTTAATTAACTTATGTTTGTAGAGCACCTTCTTTTCAAAATTAGTTTGAAGCTAATTAAATATCATATCCAGAAATAATTTTGGTTCTCTAATATTTTAATTGAGAAAAAAAATATGTAGTTTTTCCTTAGTTCTCCCTTTTTTAAACTTGGGCTATTTATTTCTTAAAATTCTGAGCCCCTCATTACCATCTTTATTTGAAGCTTTTATAATTAACCAAATGTTTTCTTATAATACATACATAAACTTTAAAATTTTGTTTGTCTTTTTAATTTTAGCTGAAAAGCATTTCTCCCCTGATTTTCTTTAGTGATCTATTTTAAACATTTTTTATGTTATATTTTTAAGCCCTTTCCTAGAATTCTTTTGTTATATTAAACTTCCTAAAATTGAATATATTATTAATGTGGCTCGGGAATGCATGTATATATAGTTTGAAAATATCTTTTCAAGGCCTTACTATAATTATACCTTTATTTCAGATGAGGTGGAGGACCATCCTACTACAATATTGTTTTCTCTTGGTTACATGTCTACTTATTGCTCTTGAAGCTGTGCCTATAGATATAGACAAGACAAAAGTTAAAAATACTCAACCCATGGACAGTGCAAAGATAGAACCACCAGTAAGTGAAATGATAATGATAGCCTTGTGGGAAGAATTTTAACTAAATTATTGCTAATGTTTATTAGTTATGAAATTGGACATTTAGAAGCTATTTCTGACATAGCCGTGAAAAGAGTATTGGATAAGCATATGTTATTTAATATTAGACAATGTTTACTTAATGTAGTTCATGTATTAGATAGTGCATAGAAGAATTAATCATAATACATTTCCAATTTAGAGCTAACCAGCCAAGAAAACATTGTATTATATTCAAAGGAGAGACAGATAGCAATGAGGAGAGAGAGGTAACAATGGAGTAAACCCAGCTAATATTAATAAAGTCTTCGTTGTCTAAGCCATATAGAAAATCTGTACCTTTATGTTATCGTAAAAGGTGATTTTGGTTTGATCCCTGAAACCTGATTTCTGAAACTCATCATTTAAGCTTTTTAACTTTGTCCAAACTATTAAACTAGATATGTCTCAATGCCATTTTGTTAGACATTTCTTTTTTTTTTTTCTTTCTTTAGAATTGAGATCTTTAGATGCAGGGAAGGAAAAGCTTTCAGAAGCATTATTGTTTGTTTCTTAATTTGAAGGATACTGGACTGTATTATGATGAATATCTCAAGCAAGTGATTGATGTTCTGGAAACAGATAATCATTTCAGAGAAAAGCTCCAGAAAGCAGACATAGAGGAGATAAAGGTAAATGGTATTAAATAATTATTTAACAACATTTGAGCATGCCAGACACTGAACTAAGTACTGGGGATACAAAGGTGAGATTCACTCCCAGGCCTTCAGGAACCTTCAAGGGAGAGTAATATCCAGAAAAAGAGTATCAGGATATATGATGAATATATAATATATTTTGAATATGCAGAGGATGGACACATACTTCAGTATGAAGCAGTGGGGGAAGGTGGGAAGTCATTCTTGGAAGAGATTATACCAGTGCGTAAAGCTGTGACTGAGAAAAGGAAAGAGATTGGGAGGCATCTTAGGCCAAGGTACAAGGTTACAGAGATAAGAGATACATGGGAAACTGGAAGTAGTAACTATTTCTGGAACCTGTACTGGGAAGTGGAGGCCATGGTTGGCTAAATGATGAAGTTGGAAAAAGTCATGGGCTAGATGACAGGGCCTTGTACATCATGTTAAGGGGCTTTGATCATGATGTGAGGACAGCAGAAATCTGTTCAAAGGCTTGAAATAGGTTAAGTTCTGGTGTTTTAATCAGGCCCAGATTAATCAAAGATGTAATGGGCCATATCTTTTATCAATAGGGAGGTTTAACAATTTGCCTCTGACATAATCGTAGCCCTAGACATCTCCTTAGTACTCATAATAAAGAGAGTTGTAGAGGCCTGACACGAGAGATTCTTTTAAAGCTCGTCCTTGAAAGACAATGAATCAGTTTAGTTGGGTTTATCTTAGAGTCAGCAGCAAAAAAATTTCCAATCATTTAATTTTAAGCTTTCACTTATACCTTTCAAGATAGTTTTCTTTGCTTATGTTATTTTGTTTATTTTTAACTTTCCTAAAAAAATTATCTCACCTCTTTATAGAATCAGAATTAGAGAACTTTATTTGAAGGAACCTTTCTGGGTCAAACATCCTTCTTATTATAGTCTTTGTCCCTGGTATGGAACACTTTGAAAGACTTACGTTCATCAAGTTGTGGCAACGATCAAAGCCACAAGTTGATGCTTTGAATGCACAGCTCTTGTCTTGGAGGCTGTGAACTGTTGTGGGGAAAGGTAACAGCATTATGCCCATAGTTCCCAAAATCATCTTGAGAATAAGCTTATGTTTCCTTTGAAGAATTCATTTGATCTGTGGAACTAATTTCCTGGGGTAAATGATATTTAACTTAGAACTTCAGCATCTCTTATCTACCTAAATTAGGATTAAGAGCATTATCTGGGGGTAACATAAAATGTGAATAATGGGAGGTACTATATAGAGGTCATCAGGGAAAAGAAGACAACAAGCTTCCTAGTTTGTATAGGGAATACCTTTATAGCTGTTATAAAGAGAATACCTTTATAACTGAATTTCCATTCCTTGTTGGGGCATGGGGAGAGACAAAATCAAATAAATTAAACTTTTTATTCCTCTTCTTACTGAACTCTGTTATTTTATCTCAAGGCTTCTCAGATTTTAAGGCTTGTTAAAACACAGATTTCTGGGCCCTGTCTCCAGACTTTCTCTGATTCAGTAAATCTAGGACCTGTATTTCTGAACTTCCTAGGTGACGCAGATATGCTGAGCTGGGCACCACACTTTGAGAACCATTGTTTTATTTAATAATGATGACGATTCTCTCCTTCAAATATAGTGCTTTCTTTTCTTTTTTGCTTCTAAACAGCATATTCTCCTAGTCCTCCTCCCTCTCCAAACATTCATTCCTGGTCTTCCCTGTGGGGTTTCTTTTCCTAGCCTTCAACAGGCCCCGTTGGCTCAGCCCTAAAAGGTTTGTCTGCCTGACTGCCAGTGAGACTTGCAGTTTGTGATTGCAAACACATTTATGAACAAGAGAAAGTAAACCACTAGCTATTTCTTTCTTAAATTTTGGAGCATGTGTCTAGTTACTTATCTATGAAAAAAGTAATCAAAGGAGACAACCTTAAAAAAGATGATTTTTGAAAGCTATTTATATATGGGATGACTAAAGCTTAAGGAGGCCAAGTTAATTTAAAAATAATAACTTGATTGAAATATAATTCATATACCATAAAATTTGCCTCTTTAAAGCATACAGTTCAGTGTTTTTTAGTATATCCACAGACATGTAACCATCACCACTATCTAATTTTAGAAGCATTTCTTTTGTCCCCAAAGAACCCTGTACCTACTAAGTAATCACTCTCTTTTTCCCCCTCCCCTCAGCCCCTTGCAACCATTAATCTACTTTCTGTCTCTATGGACTTGCCTCTTCTAGACATTTCATATGAATGGAATCGTCTAATATATGGTGGCCTTCTGTGTTTGACTTCTTTGACTTAGCATAATGAATGAAAACATTATATTTTTCAAGGTCCATCATGTTATAGTATGTATTAGTACATTCATTACTATGGCTGAGTAATATTCCATTGTATGGATATTTCATATTTTGTTTATCAATTCACCAGTTGATGGACATTTGGGTTATTTCTACCTTTTGGCTAATATGAATAATGCTGCTATGAATATTCATGTACAATTTTTTATGTGAACGTGTTTCAGTTCTTTAGGTACATACCTAGAAATGGAATTGCTGGGTCACATGGTAGCTCTGTGTTTAACTTTTGAGGAACTGCCAAATTGTTTTTCGATATGGCCACACCATTTTACAATTCAAGTTACTTTTTTGGTTTCTGCTTTTTGTTTTAATTATGCTTTTTTTTTGGACATCTTGATTTTAGGGTTTCAAACTGAAAGAAATGCTTCTGAAAGACACATTATCTGCTGAAAGAAATACTTTTGTAATGTCAAATTTATCTAAATTAGTCAAAAGCATCTACAGCTACTTTATTATAGCCCTATTTTTAATATGTGGTATCTATTCTAAAAATGCAATGTAATAGATAAAACTTATTATTTTGTCAACAGAGTGGGAGGCTAAGCAAAGAGCTGGATTTAGTAAGTCACCATGTCAGGACAAAACTTGATGAACTGAAAAGGCAAGAAGTAGGAAGATTAAGAATGCTAATTAAAGCTAAATTGGATTCCCTTCAAGGTAAGTGCTAAATAAAAGGTAGGAAAATTTCAATATTTGCTTGTTGATGTCAGTTTACATTAGCACATGCCATGTTCTTCTAGTCAAAATTTAATGTTAGTATTGATTTGGCTTCTCTAAATTTTTTTTTTTTTTAAGATTTTATTGGGGAATTAGGAGAGGGGAACAGCATTGGGGAATCGGGGAAGTGGAACAGACAAGTTGCTGTCGTTTTGTTCTTCAGTCTAGTTGTGGAGGACGTCACTTCACTGGCCCGTGTTGGTATTATCATTGCGCTCTTCCCGGGTGAGGCAGATCAGTTACCAGCTTCTGGACGGCCACTCACAGTGGCTCTTGGTAGCTCACACCGGCTGCCAGCCGCTCACGCTGGCTGCCGGCCACACACGGTAGCTTATGGCAGCCCAGCTCCAGGTCGAGCTGCTGTTCATGATCTTGGCTGTAGAGGGCGCAGTGTCACTGGCCCGCATGTTGAATCCGAACCGGGACCCTGCTGCTCAGAGCTGGCGTCCCAAGCCAGCTCTTAACTAACGCGCCACTCGGCCGGCCCATGGCTTCTCTTAATTTTTAAAATTTATTTTTTTGAATAGGTAATACATTCACATTATTAAAAAATCAAAATGATTAGCCTTAAATAATTGTATCAATAAGAAGGAAGACTGAAAAGTAATGAATTAAGACACTGATTTCAAAGAGGAAAAATAACATCAAAGCAAACCAAAAGAAAGCAGAGCGAGAAAATCTAATTGCAACAATTTTCATAGATAAAATAGAAAAGTTGTCAGAGAGCTAGTTCCACAAAAACACCTGGCCTGGATGGTGTCAAAGGGAATTCTATCAAACCATTAAAGAGCAGATTGTCAATGCTGTTTAAACTATTGCAGAGCATAGAAAAAAAAAAAGGGAAGCTTCCACATTCTCACTATGTATTAATGTCAAAACCAAAATTATTGTATATCAAAAGAACTCTATATCATAGCAAGTGGATTTATTTTAGGAGTGCAAGATTGACTCAATATTAGGAAATCTAATAATATAAATCATCATATGACTAGAAATAAGGAAAAAATGATTTTGATGTGACAAAAGAAATCATAAAGTCAAAGGACAAATGATAAATTAGAATAAATCTTTGAAGCTTGCATTTTTTTAAATTAAGGCTTAATTTTTTTAGAGTGATATATGGTTCACAGCAGAATTAAGGGGAAGGTACAGAGATTTCCCATGTACCCTCTGCTTCCAAACATGCATAGCCTCCCCCATTACTAACATCTTCCACTAGATGGTGCATTTGTTACAACTGATAAACCTACATTGACACATCATCACATCATCATCTCCCAAAATTCATAGTTTACTTTGGGGTTCACTCTTGGTGTTGCACATTCTATGGGTTTGGACAAATTTACAATGACATGTATCTACCACTGCCTTAAAAATCCTCTGTGCTCCGCTTATTCATTCCCCTATATTCTTTTAATTTTGGACTATGTGAATGAAATAGCTCTGAAGTAGATTTTTAAAATGTGAGGATATCTTAAAGAAAGTAATCCTATAGTTCATAGGATTATATCCATGTATACAGAAAGAGCATTTGATAAAATTTAACATCCCTTCTTAATTTTTTTTTTTTAAGATTTTTATTGGGGAATTGGGGGGATGGGAACAGCGCTGGGGAATTGGGGGAAGGGGAGCAGACAAGTTGCTGTCCTTTTTTGTTCTTCAGTCTAGTTGTGGAGGACGCTGCCCCACTGGCCCAAGTTGGCACCATCATTGTGCCTTTCCCGGGCGAGGCAGATCAGTCGCCAGGTTCTGGACGGCTGCTCACATTGGCTGCTGGCAGATTTTGGCAGACGCGAGACTCTTTAAGCTGGCTCCTGTGTCCTTGTGACTTACCCTCCATAGTTGGTTATTTGGGTGGTGCGTTGTCATTAATAGAATCTGAGCATTTGCTCTTGGTGGAATAGTAGTTCTTACACTTCTATTGCGTAAGAACCACCTGGGGAACTAGTTAAACATGCAGATTACTGGATCTTACCTCCATATATTCTGAACTCTGGGGATGAGTAATCTGCATTTTAAGCATGTACCTTTGGGTCAATGGATTATATTGGAGAAATGCTTGTATAGAGCATTAAGCTCCTGCTGATGAATAGACTTAGAAAACGAGTACCAAACACTCGTTATCCTGAACTTAAGGATATCAATAAGAGATAAATTGATATCTTACTCATATCTTACTACTTCAGGTGGCCAGACACACAAGGCAATTCTATCCTTGAAGCCGGGCCTAAAGTGTTTTGAGATTTCTTTCCCCTTAGACAACCTCCATTCCCTCAGTCTTGGCAATATTTCCTTTATTCCAAGATAGAGACTGAATTTCATTATCTAAAGAAAACAGTCTGATATGTTTAGAAAACTTATAAATATTTTCTCATTGATTCAGAATGTATGAATTGAAATTTCTGATAATTTGAAGATGGGTTTAAAGGGTCTTAATTTTTTTTGGGGGGGGTTAATTTTTAAAGCAGACAATACATTAACATGGTTTAAACCAAGAAAGCATAATTAGCTATATAGCAAAAAGCTCCCTGATATTTTTGTACCCTGCCAGTTCCCACTGTCCCCTCACACCATCCTTCCTGAGTTTCTTTATTATATGAGCAAATACAAATAAAGGTTCTTATTTTTCCTCTCTTTTTTTTATATAAAATATAGCATACAATACACATTTTTTTGTCTTGTATTTTTCCTTTAACAATGTATTTTAGAGATTTTTCTGTATTAGTACATAGAGACCATTTTTATTTTTTTTAACAGCTGCATAGATTTCCATTATATGGGGATAACCATAATTTATTTAACCAGGCCCCTGTTGATGGACATTTGAGTTATTTCTAGTGAACACTCTTGTGCATATATCCTATGTATCTGTGTAAGATTACCTGTAGGATAAGTTCCCCATTGTGAAGTTGTTAAAGCAAAAGATACATGTAATTTTGATAGAAATTTGGTAGTTTTATGATAATAAAGCTTTTTGCTATTAATTATACTGATGGTCAACTAGTCTTTCTAGAAATAACACTAAATTGTATTCCATTCTAGACTCAAGGACATTACCTTTGCCTAGAATAATAATATGTACAATAGTCTAAAAGAAAATATGAACCCTTAATCTGTAACTGTATTTTCTTATAAAATCCTGTAGGAATACAGATGAATGCTTATTCTTATATATCATTGATACTAATGTTCCTAGCTTCTAGTAATTTATCATTTATAGTTTTCTCATTTTCTTTCAGATACAGGCATAGACCACCATGCTCTTCTAAAACAATTTGATCACCTAAACCACCTAAATCCTGACAAGTTTGAATCTACCGATTTAGATATGCTAATTAAAGCGGTGAGAATACCCCAAAATAATGTTTTTGTTGTGCCTTTGAGGTTTTATTTTTTTTAAGATTTTATTGGGGAATTGGGGGAAGGGGAACAGACAAGTTGCTGTCGTTTTGTTCTTCAGTCTAGTTGTGGAGGA